TCAAGAATTGAAAATACTCACGAATTACTATTCAAGAATTGAAAATAGTCGAGAATTCAATTATTCAAGAATTGAAAATAGTCAAGAACTCAATTATTCAAGAACTGAAAAAAGTCGAGAATTCAATTATTCAAGAATTGAAAACAGTCGAAAATTCAATTATTCGAGAATTGAAAATAGTCGAGAATTGGAAATTGTCGAGAATTAAATTATTCAAGAATTCAATTATTCGAGAATTGGAAATTGTCGAGAATTCAATTATTCAAGAATTCAATTATTTGAGAATTGGAAATTGTCGAGAATTCAATTATTCAAGAATTCAATTATTCGAGAATTGGAAATTGTCGAGAATTCAATTATTCAAGAATTCAATTATTTGAGAATTGGAAATCGTCGAGAATTCAATTATTCAAGAATTCAATTATTCGAGAATTGAAAATAGTCGAGAATTCGATTATTCAAGAATTGCTATTCAAGAAGTGAAATTATTAAAGAATTGAAATTACCCAATATTTGTTATCTAAGAATCCTAATAGCTCAAGAATTACCATTAAAAAATTGAAATTATCCAAGAATAGAAATAGACAGGAATCACTCAAGAATTGAAATTACTCAAGAGCTACGCAGAATTTACCCAGAAATTACTATTCAATAATATTTTCAAACAATACTCCAACGACACTCGAACTAAAACCGGTTCCCGAGTCATAAGACGCCGCGGTGTCCGATTGATTAACCCCAGTCATCGCCACTCTCCGATAACTCTACTCTCTTTCCGTTGTATCGCGTTCCACCGTATCACACCACACGTAATTATGTTAATTCTGACGTAACTGACCAGCTTATGGCGCTTGCCCCGCGGTGCCTTGGCAGCAGAGACGGATGGTAGCATATGCTCTTGTGACGGGGATGATTGATCACCTCCATGGGAATGAACTGGCTGCAGAACGGAAGAACGTTCAAATCTACCTCTATACTCTTGTACAGCGCCAGCACTTCCGGCAGAGTCACACCTTTGCTCCTCCAGGACTTCACCTTGAACACTGGGGTGTCGTCTGCCTTCGCTGTCACGGCTGTATCGAACATTAAACAATATCTCATTCCTGACCGAATGCATTTAATGTTCCTTAATTATTTTAATTCGTAAAACACTTTCAATCTTATATAACAAGCTCTTGGCTTGTACCTAAGGTTACTGTTTGTAAATTATTAATATTTAAGGATGACGTTTCTTTTTTTAAAAGTTACAGAACTGACCCAAAGGATCCTCCCTATTTCCCTTGTCAGGGATGGTGAAGACTCCTGTGATCTCGTGTCCATTCTGCCTGAGGAGCTTGTAAACCTCAGCTGCGAAGGGGCTCTGGCCGATTATGGCAACCTTGAGTCGCGCCATCGCCGTCTGGATTTTGGAAAAACTGTCACTGGACTCGCAGGGGAAGTGGCAACGACCAAGCGTAGCAGTTTAGGCGACCCAGAGATACACCGAGTGCATGCAATGTCTGTTAGTAAACAGTGTGCGTCTTGTACGTACCCTGGTGCAACTTTAGCTTGGATGCTGAAGTAGGTTTCACTGTGTTTTCTAAGCGAACTGTAAAGATAAAAATATGGTGACCAGGAGAAGCTTGTGCGAGGGAGTCTACCGTGGGCTAGGTCTGCAGAGATTGGAGGAAAGTTAATAGAATAGAAGGTATATCATATAGATAGCTTTTAAGAAATATCTTGTTAAATATGGTTTCTCGAAAATTATGCATAGGACCCTTTTTGTAGAGAATTGAA